GATTCTTGGCTTGACAGAAAACTTCCTAAAGGACCACAACCGATATATAATAGTATTATAGAAATGTTTTGTTTAAACAATAATTTGATTGACTACTGGAGAATAGCAAACCCAGATTTGATATGTACGTACAGACCCTAATATATGTTCACGGCTTGATTACTGGCTAGTGTCCCAAACAACGTGATATTCAAACATCCCCTCTTACAGATCATTGTAATGTTCATATTTTCTTCACATCAGGAAGAAAAAAGGCAAAATCTGTTAATGTTTGGAAACTGAATAATGCATTGTTACTTAATGAAGATTTTTGTAAGCAAGTTCAAATAATTGTCACGGAAACATCTATGTAGGGGTTGTCAAATATTAGTAAATGGGAATGGTTCAAATTCAAAGATAGATAGTATATTATATATATATTATATAGCAGATAGCTATTGAGACAAGTAAAAATATTGTAGAGGCTCGAAAGTCCTTACAAAAAGAGATGGTAGAAAAAAATAAGTATTTTATGTGAAAAGTCAAGTTTAACTGATGAAGAAACAGAGCAGCTACATTTGCTTCAAAACAGATTAGATAATATGTACATAGAGAAGGCAAAAGGAGCATATGTCAGATCCAGAGCCAAATGGATTAAACAGGGGGAGAAAAATTCAACATATTTTTACAGTCTTGAAAAAAGACGTCAATCTAGAAGAAATATCACCAAATTAAGTAAAGACAATATTGTTATTGAGGACCCTACTACAATAATCGAAGAAGTAACCAATTTTTACAGTAACTTATATATGAATACATTTCAAAAAAATAATTATGACTAGTTTTTTAACAATGGGAATAAAATATCAAGTAGAGATAAACAATTACTAGAGGAAGATCTCACAATATCAGAGATTGAAAAGAAGAAAAGAAATCAAACGGGGGAAATCACCCGGAATAGATGGACTAACAATAGAATTCTATCAAACATTTTGGCAAGATATAAAACAACTATTATTTAATGCATATAAAGATTTAATTTTTTATGGCAAATTATCCCCAACAATGAAAACTGGTTTAATAACTTTGTTGCCTAACTGCTAATTTACACATGAGGCGTTACAGCACGTACGCGTTATATGCTCAGCAGACGCGCGTAACTTTTTTCCATGTTAACCTATGATGATATTTACACTTCTAGCGTTATACGCGTTTATAACAGGTGTTCTGTCGAGATGATCTCCCTCAGCTGTTAATGCTGCTGTTAATGATGTAATGCAAACCTGCGCGTGCGCGTCTCACGGCAGCCGAAGCAATCCAAGATGGCGGACATGTAGTCCGCGAATTGCTTTAAAAGTTAAATACGAACAAATTAAGACACGAATGTCACTTTTGATGCAATTTGAGGCGAGATGTTGATGGTTCCACGTTGTGATATGTGTGTTTTAAGAGTAAGAGTTTAGTGTAAAGTTTGTTTTAAGCAGTCCACTGCTCCTGTGAAACTACACTGCTGCTGTGTGATAGCAGTCCCTGAGTTGACTGCTGCATACGTCGGGCCCATGACTGGTCTGTCGGGTTGATAATGGAAATAATAAGTTAAATTTTATGCATGTATCATACTGTATTCAATATGATTAACAATAGTGTATTCAAACGATATATTTAATTAGATCGAGTTTTTTCCCCATTCTGGCGGGTTTCTGCGAATGTGCAAGTCAGATCTGGGCACACAGTATAGCAGCAGTCTAGTTTCACAGGAGCAGTGGACTGCTTAAAACAAACTTTACACGAAACTCTTACTCTTAAAACCGACATATCACAACGCGGAACCATCAACAGCTCGCCTCAAATTGCATTAAAAGTGACAATCGTGTCTTAATTTGTTCGTATTTAACTTTTAAAGCAATTCGCGGACTACATGTCCGCCATCGACAGTAGCTCAGTTGGTAGAGCATTGGCCTTTGAGCCTGAAGGTCGTGGGTTCGGGCCCACCGTAAGACGACCCTACTTCACGACTCCCACTGATGACTGCTGTCGTTGTGTCCTTAGGCAAGACACTTAACCCCACTTTGCCTGAAGCCCCCGCTGAAAGATCTCAGCTCCTGTGGACTCAGCTCCTGCAGGAGGATCAGTGAGGGGCTGGTGCTCTGTGGACTGGGTGCAGCTCTGGCCACCCCCCCGACCCAGAAATGGATTAAGGGGAAGAAAATGGATGGATGGATGGATGTCCGCCATCTTGGATTGCTTCGGCTGCCGTGAGACGCGCATGCGCAGGTTTGACTTACATCATTAACAGCTGAGCCAGACCAACTCGACAGAACAACTGTTGTATGACGCAAAGCTGCGCTCTAATTTAGGATGGATTTCTAATTTTGTGCCATTTGATTCCATTGAGCATGATTTTTTACTCCATATGCTGCAGTTTTTTTGGTTTTGGGGCAACATTTTGTAAAATCATCAAAATGTTTTATCATGAAATCAATAGTTATATCTCTCTCAATGTCTCTTTCACCTAAACTATACTGTGTACTCAACTAATGGCTTATCTCATATTAAACAATAGCGAATTAAAAGGAATAAAAATAAATAAAACGGAATATACATTGAGTCAATTTGCTGATGATACTGTAATCTTTATGAAAACAAATCCATTCTTAAAAAATCTTTAGATGTTTTATCAGTTTTCTCCAAAGCATCAGGGCTTTGCCTGAACCTGAAAAAGTGTGAATTACTTCCCTTGTATAATTGCCCAGATAACGAATTAGAATCAATTCCTGTGAAAACCCAAATACCTGGGAATTCAGCTGTCCAAAGATGTCAAAACAAGAGAAGAAACTAATTTTAATGGGAAAAGTGCAGAAGTACCTCTGTACCACTGGTTATCAAAATACCTAACTATATTTGGCCAAAATGTATTATCAAAGTCAGAGGGTGTCTTTAAATTAGTTTATCCAAGCTATTCTCTTTATATCTCTCCCCAAACTATAAGAAAAGTAAACTCTAGATTATATCAATTATATAATCTAGAGTTAATTATAAGTATATAAATAAAGCTTACTTACTTACTTACTTACGTAAAAAAAACACTAAAAAGCACAACTCAGTCAATGATTGGCGTCTTTAGAATTATCAATCAATCAATCAATCTTTATTTATAGGGCGCTTTTCCTGCACAGGGCAACACAAAGCGCCTCACAGTCCACACCACACAATGCACAAATCATCACCATTAAAATACAATTAAAAACACATATGTAATTAAAAAGCATTAAAATCACATAAGTAATTTAAAAACATAAAAATCACACAAGTAATTAAAAACAATAAAATAGTTAAAAACACAAAAAGTTACAACAATAAATAACAAGGTGTGTTAAAAAGATAAAATTCTCTAGTTGTATGCACGGGAAAAAAGAAAAGTCTTTAACATGGATTTGAACATTGACAGAGAGGCAGCCAGTCTCACATCCTCAGGAAGACCGTTCCAGACTCCAGCTGCATAAATCTGAAAAGCAGCCTCCCCCTGTCTAGTCCTGACTCTGGGCACTAACAGGAGTCCCGTCCCTGCGCTCCTCAGAGTCCGGGCTGGTTCATATGGGGACTAGCATATCATGGATGTACTTTGGTGCAAGGCCATGGAGAGACTTGTACACCAGGAGAGCTGCTTTAAAGTCTATCCTCTGGGCCACGGGAAGCCAGTGCAGAGACCTGAGGACCGGACTAATGTGGTCGTACTTCCTGGTTCTAGTCAGGACTCGGGCTGCAGCATTTTGAATATACTGCAACTGTCTTACTGCATGTTTGGAGATACCTGTGAGCAGGCCATTGCAGTAATCCAGCCTACTGGAAACAAAAGAATGGATAAGAATCTCCAAGTCTGCCCTGGACACAATATTTTTAATTTTGGCAATATTTTTCAGATGATAAAAAGCTGCTGATGCTAGCGATCCAATGTAGCTATTGAAGTTTAAGTCAGAGTCCATTATTACTCCCAGATTTCTGACCTTATTTAAGGGCCTTAGGGAGATTAATTGGATAAAATCTTAAATCCTGATTTACTTTGGTAAAGTATTCCCAAACACATTTTTGATCAAGTAGGAGGTTTGAGTTCTTTTTGAAATTTGATTTTGATTTATCCAAATTGCCTTTGAAATTGTCTGATTATTATAAACAAGTTTTGCATTATTGGAAAATGGCATTTACCCACAACTTTACTGCTCATGGCTCCACCTTGTGGAATAATCAAGCAATAACATAAAATAGGAAATCGTTATTCATTCAAAGCTGGCACAAGAATAATATAAACTTCATCTCAGACATTTTGGATGACCAAGGAAACTTAATGAATTTCATGGATTTTAGGACAAAATTTAGCATTCAGTGCTAAAATAGGGAGTTTGATAAAATGTGCAGAGCAATACCTGTCACTCTATTGACTTTAATAGAAAAATTATATGCAGTATTCAAATGGTCAGATATCTTTACCAAAACTACAATTAGATTATGTCTCTTTAAAAGACAAAACATGTAATATTCAACGCGTTAACAAAGTAATCAAGTGCAATTTCTTTCATACTTTTGATAGACATGTTAAGATATATAGTACAGATTAGAGCTAAAAGATGAATTAAATTCAAGTGGCCGATACCTCCTAAAGTCAAAGAAACTATATTTAAGGTTATTAACAATTACTATCCAGCAGCTGCAATACTCAAAAAAAGATATTGGAAATATTTGTGAAGATGTCCCAAAATCTTGGTTGTTGTAACTTGTTTTACTAAACGTATGCCTTACTGGTCCGTGTACTTTTGCGTTCAATACATTTTCTATTTTTTTTTAAGGGAAATGGAAAATCGAAAAAAGGCTATTTTGCATTTTCAGGCACATAGCAATATACAAAAATTACCATTTTGTTTTTTTTCATTGCTTTTTTGTTGTCTCCTAACGAGAGTTTTGTATGTATATTGTAAATAAAGAATATATATATATATAAAAAAAAAAAACACGGCTTCACCTCGCGTATGCGCCGCTTCCACGTGCGGTCACATGACCACTCGCTTAGCAGCCAAAGAGAAATAATGGCCAAGTGCATATGCTGAGTCCAACAGGTGGGCTTTTGAGACCCGTGTTACACAAGGTTCACCGTGATTAAGGTGAATGCGTGTCAACAGGTCAATGGGTTAATTGCTAATCGTTGTCTTTAATGTTTGCATTGTTAATGGATGTCTAATTGTCACTAAGTTTGGGTTGTGAAAGTGTGAAAGTTTTAGTATTTTTTGGTAATTTAGATACTTTTGTAGATTATATTGGGTTTACTTCAGTTTGGTTTAGTTTCAGTTTTAGTTTAGTGGCACCTAGGGGATAAAAGGGGGCAGTATCATGCACCTGTGTGGGCCAATGGTTTTTTACCAGTTCTGGGAGGTGCAGCCTTTTTGTGTTGTTTGCCTGCAACTTGATGAATAAACCTTTTTTGAAATTTAAATGTTTTGGAATGGACATTTGTTTATTTTTTTGTTACCACTTACCCATGGTGCATTTTAGTGATTATTTGAGTTTGAATGTTCTTAAGTTTGCTTACATTTTGTTTGATTTTTTTTGGACAAATAGTCACTACAGACCATATGGTCTCTTTGGAGTGCCAATAATGTGACCATGATGTAGGTGTGGTTTTGTCTAAATAAATAGGCCTTTAACACAATGGAGTTCAGTGCACGCACGGTCACAGCACCAAGATCAGAGATGTGCCGTGACTGTGCAGGCGCTCCTTGTAATGTATGCTTGTCTGTTGTGTTGTTTTTGTCCTGGTACTGTAGTTTAATCTTTAACATTGGACTTTAACATACACCTTTCTTCGTCCCAAAGTGGGGACATTTTAAAGTCACAGCCTCCAATTTGTTCCTAATTCTTTTTTTAAATTAACATACAAAACACAGTACAACATTGGCGTTCATACCAATCATGCTTACAATTTTTACATGAACGTCCACAGCTTTTAAGGTGAGCGTCCATACAGTACACCATGAACAAACATACAGCGTGTGTGTGTTTTTAAAATTATTTATCTTTTCTGTGTGCATTGATTAGTTAACCAAACGTATTGAGGGGAATTGGTGATAAGTGACCGTTAACGAGCAGCTGTGGCTACAGTAGTAGTTTATCACCACCATGTATGGAGTGAAGGAAAAATGCAGCAGCGCCAAGATCCCTGAGTGGTAAATGGCTAACCAATGTTTTGGCCACCACAAGGGGGCGCCTCGAAGTGGCCAAATCTGTGGCTAACGCACCTTTTGCTAACCTTGCCTGCAAGCTGAATTCTCGCGGTATTTGTGAGTTCACAAACACTCGAGAATACATCTTGTCCCGCTCCCGCCAACCATTTTTGAGTAGAACATCTAGGTGTTCAAGCCAATCACGCGCCAGTCTGGGGGTTTAGGGCGGGATATCTGGGTTTGACGAAAACAAGAAGTGCCGGGCCGAAGCAAAACAAACATGGCTACGCAGGAGGACGGACGCGTAGCTGAGGCTATCAAGTCAGTTTTAGCAGAATCTCCAATTTCTTTTTTGAAAGATGAACAGCGAGAGGCGCTTTGTGCACGTCGATGACGACATAATGTTACCGGGATTGGTTTAAGTCAACCCTTGGTAGGCGGGCACACAGCGTCACTTCGCCCAATCAGCTTGAATTATTCTGAACAGTGCAGTAGGGAACAGTGCAGTAGGAAAGAGTGCAGTAGGGAAGAGTGCAGTAGGGAACAGTGCAGTAGGGAACAGTGCAGTAGGAAAGAGTGCAATAGGGAAGAGTGCAGTAGGGAAGAGTGCAATAGGGAAGAGTGCAGTAGGGAACAGTGCAATAGGGAAGAGTGCAGTAGGGAACAGTGCAGTAGGAAAGAGTGCAATAGGGAAGAGTGCAGTAGGGAAGAGTGCAATAGGGAAGAGTGCAGTAGGGAAGAGTGCAGTAGGGAAGAGTGTAATAGGGAAGAGTGCAGTAGGGAAGAGTGCAGTAGGGAAGAGTGTAATAGGGAAGAGTGCAGTAGGAAAGAGTGCAGTAGGGAAGAGTGTAATAGGGAAGAGTGCAGTAGGAAAGAGTGCAGTAGGGAAGAGTGCAGTAGGGAAGAGTGCAGTAGGGAACAGTGCAGTAGGAAAGAGTGCAGTAGGGAAGAGTGCAGTAGGGAACAATGCAGTAGGAAAGAGTGCAATAGGGAAGAGTGCAGTAGGGAAGAGTGCAGTAGGAAAGAGTGCAATAGGGAAGAGTGCAGTAGGGAAGAGTGCAGTAGGGAACAGTGCAGTAGGAAAGAGTGCAATAGGGAAGAGTGCAGTAGGGAACAATGCAGTAGGGAAGAGTGCAGTAGGGAAGAGTGCAGTAGGGAGCAATGCAGTAGGGAACAGTGCAGTAGGGAAGAGTGTAATAGGGAAGAGTGCAGTAGGAAAGAGTGCAGTAGGGAAGAGTGTAATAGGGAAGAGTGCAGTAGGAAAGAGTGCAGTAGGGAAGAGTGCAGTAGGGAAGAGTGCAGTAGGGAACAGTGCAGTAGGAAAGAGTGCAGTAGGGAAGAGTGCAGTAGGGAACAATGCAGTAGGAAAGAGTGCATTAGGGAAGAGTGCAGTAGGGAAGAGTGCAGTAGGGAACAGTGCAGTAGGAAAGAGTGCAATAGGGAAGAGTGCAGTAGGGAACAATGCAGTAGGGAAGAGTGCAGTAGGGAAGAGTGCAGTAGGGAACAATGCAGTAGGGAACAGTGCAGTAGGGAACAGTGCAGTAGGGAAGAGTGCAGTAGGGAACAATGCAGTAGGGAAGAGTGCAGTAGGGAAGAGTGCAGTAGGGAACAATGCAGTAGGGAACAGTGCAGTAGGGAACAGTGCAGTAGGGAAGAGTGCAGTAGGGAACAGTGCAGTAGGGAACAGTGCAGTAGGGAACAGTGCAGTAGGGAACAGTGCAGTAGGGAACAGTGCAATAGGGAACAGTGCAATACAATGTCTCATGTCCTTCTGTCAATTGTTGTTTACTGTCTCACATGTTTGTACGTGTTCAGTGTCCTTGTACATGTCCTGTATTGACCAGATGCATCGACGTCATCCAGTCACATGATTGTGAATGAGCTTACGGCGGAAGTAGTGGAAACTAGCATTGCGGCGAGAGCAAAACGGACACAACTCTTAAAAACTGAGACTCCTCTCCTGAAACGAGAAGTGGCTGCTTCAAGCACATGTTCGATTACGTTATTGGTGGAAGTAGGACAGAAGTTAAGGATCGCCTAACTGGATGTTGACCCGTACCTTCTCCCCCAATCAATTTTATCGATTAAATGAAATTTCTAATTTTTCCCGAATTCACCCTGCATGATCTTTATCATTATGTCGTTAGCATCCCCTCACACTGGAGCAGATTTATATGTAAATTTTGCTGGTAGCATTAGGTATTTCAACTGAGGTTAAGCCTTTTTTAACCCGTTCTGATCTGGAAAAAACGATCCAAGCTTTTATCAGTTCAAGAAATGATTACTGTAATGCCCTTTATTTTGGAGTTACCCAGTCTTGTTTTAATCGTCTTCAGTTGGTGCAAAATGCTGCAGCTCGTTTTTTAACAAACACACTCAGACGTCAGAACATCAGCCCAGTCCTTTAGTCCCTAAATTTCTAGTTTTGTTTCAAGTTGATTTTAAAATGTTACTCTTTGTTTTTAAAGCCCTCAATGGTCCCTCAATTGTACCTCATTTAACACCCAAATAGATAAATAGTAACAGTTAGTTGTGTGTAACAGCTATAATATTTTCTTGGTCACATCTGCTACAGGAACGCACATACGCGCACACACACACACACACACAGACACAGACACACACACACAGATATACACACACAGACACACACACACAGACACACACACACACACACACACACACACACACAAACACACACACAGACACAGATATACACACAAACACACACAGACACACACACACACAGATACACACACACACACACACACACAGATACACACACACACACACACACAGATATACACACACACACACACACACACACAAAAGAACAGCTATTTCCAGTCCCTCAATTAAAGAAAAAATATTGAACAGCCCAAAATCTGGGCTGAGGCTGCCTGTATTATCGCTGTCTGAAATTTCCTGTGTGTTTATTGTCCATGTTTTATGCCCTGTGCGGCTCAAACGAATGTCCCCTGGTGGGAGAAAAAGCGCCATACATCCATTTTCTTCCGCTTCATCCGTTGCCGGGTCGCGGGGGCAGCAGTCTAAGCAGAGACGCCCAGACTTCCCTATCCACACACACTTCCTCCAGCTCGTCCGGGGGGACCCCAAGGCGTTCCCAGGCCAGCTGAGAGACATAGTCCCTCCAGATTCAGATTCAGATTCAGATTCATTTTATTAGCCATGTGCAGTATAAAAACTACATTGGAATACATTTGCAGAGAAAGGTACTCTGTGTGCACCGACAGAATAAAAAGCACGATACAATGTAATATAAAATACACATACACTGAATATAAAAGAATAAAAAAAAACAGCTGACACTGTGGCACCGATCAACAAAACGATACAAGGGGTAAAAGCAGGAATTAAAGTGCTCTGTTTAGGCACCTAACAGCTTGTGGAAAGAAGCTGTTAGTGTAACGAGATGTCCTGCATCTCAGCGACCGATATCTTCTGCCCGAGGGAAGAAGCTGGAACATGGCTTTCCCAGGGTGGCCAGAAGAGTCATTGATGATTTTAAGAGCTCTGTTTAAAAGTCTGGATTTATAAAGAACCTCCAGAACAGGAAGCTCACAGCCCACAGTCCTCTTTGCAGAGCGGAGCACCTTGTTTAAAGCTCTCTTTTCTTTATCTGTGATGTTTCCAAACCACACAGACACAGAACCAACAAGTAAACTCTCAGTGGTGCAGCGATAAAAGTTAAGCAGAATCTTAGAGTTAGTGGTGAATTCTCTAAGTTTCCGCAAAAAGAAGAGCCGCTGACGTGCTTTCTTAACAACCCGGTTAGTATTTTTGTCCCATTTCAGGTTAGACAGAGTTAAACCCAGGAACTTGCACTCCTCTACGATCTGCACCTGGGAGTTGTCGATAACTACAGGAGTGTGAGAACTGCTACGACTTTAGTCAAAGACAAGTTCACATGTTTTTGCAGTGTTCAGCTGGAGATTGTTTACTTTACTCCACTGAAAAACATGTTCGATCTCTGCTCTATAAGAGGATTCATCAGTGTCACTGATGAGACCGATGATGGTGGTGTCATCAGCATATTTGATGATCAAGTTTGAGTCAGAGGAGGACACACAATCGTGAGTGTACAAAGTAAAAAGCAAAGGACTCAAAATACATCCCTGAGGAGAACCAGTGCTCACAGAAACAACATCAGAAAAACAGTCATTGATTTTTACTCTCTGAGATCTGTCAGTTAAAAAGCTAAAAATCCATTTACACATGGCAACACTTAAACCGAGAGACATGAGCTTTTCAATCAGTATACCTGGGACAAGACAATTAAAAGCAGAGCTATAATCAATGAAAAGCATTCTCGCGACAGATTTTCTAGTGTCCAAGTGACTGTAGACAGAGTTCAGAGCAAAGGAGATGCATCCTCCACACTCCTGTTCTGTCTGTAGCAAACTGGAGCGGGTCAACACTCACAGGGATCTGGCTCTTAATGAAGTCCAGCACAAGCCGCTCAAAAGTTTTCATAAGAACAGACGTGAGAGCCACAGGGCGGTAGTCATTGAGACATGTCACTGGAGACTTCTTAGCAGAGGTGGGACAAAGTCATTGTTTAGCAAGTCACAAGTCAGTCTCAATTCATTGCCCTCAAGTCCCGAGTCAAGTCACGAGTCAAGACAGGCAAGTCCCGAGTCGAGTCCAAGTCAAAGGCCAACAAATCTCAAGTCAGTCCCAAGTCCTACGGTTTGACTTTCGAGTCCTCTCGAGTCTTTTTGACCGCGATTTGTTTCTTGTTGGTCTCCACGTACTTTTGTAGGCAAACAAAATAATGTTAGGAATCATTTTGCTGGTGCATTCTCGTTGGTCTCTGACCCATGGACTAACAGTTTGTTCCATGTGGTTGGCTGCTGGTAAATCAAAACTATCTACGTGATCTAATTGGATGTTGTGCCAGATGCAGGCTCAGTTACACATGCACAGACCACACATAAAATCAGAGCAGTCCGTGTCAACATACTTTTTATCTTTGGGGTTTTTAATGGGAAGTAGCAAGTGCAGCATATATGAATATGAGTATTGGGCTAGGACCTGTATCTATATAATCAGTTTAATGTCCGTAGTGGTTATTGTTCCAAAGGACTGAAGGGACCAATGGAGGGGAAGGACCCCGCTCTGTATGAACTGGGCCAGCATTAGTAATATCTCATAATTACCAATATATCATTACATAATAAAATGTCTCATATAAATTAATTCAATCAGTCAAAGCACTGATTCTCATATCAATGCACCATAAACAATAGTGCAAATATTAATCTAGCTTAGTGCACATAATCAAAACAACTATCTAATGTATGCAAACTTTAGCAGGAGGAGCACAGCAAAAACATACTCATAATAATAGGCCTCGGCGCGCACACAGAAAAATATAAGAAAGAGCCAACAGAGCAGCGCAGGCTAGCGCTAGTTTGACTCACCAGTTCCTCACACAGTGTGACAACTGCGTCGATTCAATTGTATGAGGCGCCTGTAGTGAAAGCATATCAATTACGGTTTGTAGAACAAAATATGACGTTAGGTTGCGATAAATACCTGCAGCTCGCTCATTTCCAGCTCCCCTAGACAACACACCCACCGGTGAATGCAGTCCGCTTGTTTAGGGAAGTGTTGCTGCGCGAACTGCGGGGAACTCACGTTCGAACTCTCTCGCGAGCGCTACAACTACCGCGAGGCTTTGTTTCTTCAGAGACGGCATAGATAGAAAGAGAGATGCGGAGAAAGGTAAAAATGGCCCGGGTTACGCAAGTCTTTGCAAGTCAATTGGCGCAAGTCCAAGTGAAAGTCAGAGTCATTGATGTTAAAGTCCAAGTCGAGTTGCAAGTCTTTTTACATTTGGTCAAGTCGAGTCTAAAGTCATCAAAATCATGACTCGAGTCTGACTCGAGTCCAAGTCACATGACTCGAGTCCACACCTCTGCTTCTTAGGAACTGGAATAATGGTGGACCTTTTAAAGCTCACCGGCACCGTACAGCTCGTGAGTGACAAGTTAAAGATGGATCCCAGACTATGTTATCTTCTTCATCCGTTAAAACAGGGGCAAGTTGCTCGGAGCACAGTTTCAGGACGCGGGGAGGAATGCAGTCCGGGCCTGCGGCTTTCCGAGCTGTGGTCCTGGACAAGACCCGCCGTACTTCATCCTCAGTCACTGTAAAGGCACCCTGACATTCGGGGAAGACAAAAGGCAGGGGATCAGCAGATTCAAAGCGGCAGTAAAAGTCGTTGAGCTCGTTTGGCAGAGTTTGGCCAGCAGCAATTTTCCCTGCACTTGGTTTTCAGGACGTGATAAGACTGATCCCCTTCCACATGCGTCGAGGGTCCTCTCCGCCAAAGAAGCCCTCTAACCTGTCCCCATAGGAACGCTTAGCAGCTTTTATAGAGCGTTCCACAGCGTAGCAGGACAGCTTGTAAGCACCCTCGTCACCGGATTGAAACGCCAGTGTCCGCTCATTAATTCTCAATTTGACGTCAGTGTTCATCCAAGGTTTTTGGCCGGAGTGTTCTTTAATAACTTTATAGGGGACACAACAGTCAATGCAAAATTGTATGTATCCTGTCACAGCCTCACAGAATTCATCAACATTCTCAGAGTTAAAAACAGACCAGTCTGTGGCATCAAAGCAGCCCTGCAGCTTCATGTTAGCCTCCTCAGACCAGCACTGCACAGTGCGGGAAGTAGGTTTGTGCTGTTTGTTCCTCTGTGTATAAGAAGGAAGAAGGAGAACAGCGGAGTGGTCAGACTTCCCAAAAGCAGGTCTGAGACTGGACCTGTAAGCTCCCTTCACGTTACTATAGCAGTGATCCAGGATGTGAGCTCCCCTGGTAGGCTGACTCACATGCTGATAAAAGTTCGGTAATACAAACTTTAAGTTACATTTATTAAAATCACCACCAACTATAATCACAGCATTGGGGTGAGCAGCTTCATGTTTATGCAAAATGTCACTTAAGTCATTCAGTGCAGCTGTACAGTCAGCCCGAGGATGAATATATACAGCACATAAGAAAATCACTGAGAATTCTCTGGGAAGATAGAACGGGCGGCATCTCAAAACCAGACACTCCAGGTTAGCAGAGCATGTTTTGTTTATAATAAAACTGTCAGTGCACCAGCGCTGGTTAATTAAAAGACACACACCTCCGCCTTTAGATTTCCCCGTGCTCTCCTTCTCTCTGTCCGAGCGGAAAATGGCAAATCCCGGCGGCTGAACAGCTGAGTCCGGGATATTCGGATGCAGCCACGTCTCGCTGAGGCAGTACACTGCGCAGTCCCGAGCCTCGCGCTGGTACTGGATTCGGCTGAGGAGATCATCCGACTTGTTCGGAAGAGACTGAACGTTCGCAAGGTAGATAGGTGGCAGTGGGACCCTGGGGGCGCGACTCCGCACGAGAAGCCCGCCTCGCTTTCCCCGGTGTCTGCGCTTCCTCCGTCGGCGAGAGACACCCGGCTCTGCTCGGTGGTGAACACGGGGGAGGCGCCCGGCCTCATCGCCCTGTTCCCCGTCTCTGTCGCGGTCCGCACGCCGCTCTCCTCGAGCTGGGCACTCGTCAAAGCCATCGCACCTCAGAGCAGGCAACACTGGCTCACAAGCCAAGTCCCGTATGTCCAGAAGAGTCTGTCGATCATATACCACAGTGGCAAGTGTTTTGTGAAAGGATAAAAACAGCATAAAAATCACGGTGCACAACGGAGCTCTTGCAGCGGCGCCCTGGCACGGCGCCATCTTGTCTCCAGCGTGTCCTGGGTCTTCCCCGGGGCCTCCTTCCGGTGGGACGTGCTCGAAACACCTCCCCAGGGAGGCGTCCAGGAGGCATCCGGAACAGATGCCCGAGCCACCTCAACTGGTTCCTCTCGACGTTGAGTAGCAGCGGCTCTACTCTGAGCTCCTCCCGTGTGACTGAGCTCCTCACCCTATCTATACAATACAATACAATACAATTTATTCTTGTATAGCCCTAGGTCACAACAGAAGTCATCTCAGAGGACTTAACAAAACCATTGAAATCACCAACACAGGTCAGAGAATCAACAGTTAAAACACATGAAGAATACAGTATAAAGCACACACAGAAGAAAATGTCCATACATGTTGTAGAATGCTAAAGTGTCCTGATCATCACCAATCCTTTCTGTTGGACACTAACTGTCCAACAAGACCCTCCTGCATCGACAAGGAAAAACTCTTAAAAAACCCAGTGGGAAAAAGTGAGAAACCTTGGAGGAGAACTAGGGAAACCCACAGGGAGGGAGACCCATATGAGAAAGGGATCCGCTCCTCCGGACGAACAGGCTAATGATCCAGGACCTAAGCTAGCTACAGAACGTGGACCAGTGGACGCTGAACGTGGACAGGTCCGGTGCAGGACTGAAGCACTCCCAGGCGGGTCGGGCGGGGCAGTCCGCAGGTGTAGATGGAGGAGGCCAGGCTCAGAGATCCCGTCATCGTACCATGAAACAGACAATGGGACAACGGGTGAATAGCAATGAACAAACTACAGTCAGAATCCTAAAAATGCTAAACAGATTAAGTAGGAAGGAGGAGAGGATAGTGCTCAAGTTACCATACTTCTCCCAGCAAACTGACACTGTTTTAAACCTAGCCTTGAATAAAGAATAACATACAGCATAATATATAACATAATATACAACATAACACAATACATTATTGAATAATATATAACATAATATATAACATAATACAGCATATATATATAATATATACACTACATATTATATATTACCTAATTATATGCTAAATTAAAGTAAAGTGCTTTAAGCCTGGCCTTGAATGTGG